CTCTCTCTCTCTCTCTCTCTCTCTCTTTCTCTCTCTCTCTCTTTGTCTCTCTCTCTCTCACACACACACACGCACACAAACACAAACACACAATCACAAAAGAATGAAAATGATTATTTATAGCTTATATCAGTTGGCGCGAATCCTTAAAGCAATAATTTCATCCCACATTTCCAGGAACTGAAAAGGCAAGTAATCTTTAGAAACCTATTCTCCTTATTTTCTTTTGAATCCGAGAATGGAAACAAATCACTTTATACTTTAAAAGAATTAAACCATTTTGATGATTTAATAGAAAACAGTTATTTATTAATATATTTCCCGATTGAAATTCTGTTCTCATCATATTTCTGTTTAGAAGTCTGATACTTTTTGATTCTGGTGTCATCAGCTGTGTTTATGGTTTCTTAGCCACATTCAACCTGAATTGCTTAACACTATTTACATTTGTAGTGGGCCCATGGCGGTTACCACTTGTTGAGGGTTCATGGCGTGGCTGTTATGTCGTTGATAGAAGTCAGACGTAGACGAAACGCAAGTAAGGTTCAGATACCCCTGCCCGCCGAGCCCAACTACATAAAAAGGTTGGACTTTGATTAAGTCCAAAGAAGAAGGTAAAGAAAGCAAACAAAACACAAGACCGATAATATATGTATATACAAATATATATTAATATATATATATGTATATACAAATATATATTAATAACAAGTTACAATACATGGAAACAGTACAAAGGACGAAGTGTGTGTGAATATTCTGTATGTGCGTGCGTGTGTGAATATTCTGTATGTGCGTGCGTGTGTGAATATTGTGCTTAGCGTGATTCCACGCTATCCCTTGTTAGCGTCTACATTTCGAGGTTGATAGCTGAAATCCTGAAGGAAAAAGAGATAGAGGTGAAGGGTCAGCGGCTATTTATAGCCAGGGAAGAGAGACCCCTGGTGAAAGGGTTAACGGACTGAAGGAGGAGTTAACTCCGACAATTCCCCCTACCAGATTAAAAGTTGTAAGGAAATGAAAACTTTTAATATATAAAGAAAAAGGTTCGTGAAAGTTTGAATATTGTTCTTGTGAGCTGAAAAGAAAATGTGTCAGAAGTGTGGTTGAGATGCGTGATTCGACGAAAAGTGCTTGTGTTGTCGTCAGAGTGCAATCGTTGAAAGTGTTTTTCGAAACAGTGAGTCGTCCGAAAAAATAGTTTGAAGCATGGGAAGCAAGCGGTGGCGTGAAGATGTCGCCACGTGGTGTAGGAAAAATGAATGCGCGCGCTTTTTGAGTTTCAGAATGGAAGAAGATGCGAAATGCTATGACCAGTAGCATGTGTTGAAAGAAAGCGGAATTTGCAAGATTAATAGCGACGAATTACGTGCATGGAAATCCTCAGTGGTGTCGCATCGTAATGGAACAGTGAGTCGTCCAGAGAAAGTTGTAGAATCATTCCAACCTAACTTGTGTGTCGCTTCCATGTCGGAATTACGAATGTTGTTGAGAGTAAAGGACAGTGGGTCGCCTTTAGTGGTTTGGGTTCACACTTTATCTGTGTCAGTCCAGAAGAGGATAGTGTTGGTTGGTAGAAAAAAATGGCGTTGTTTTTCGTTTGGTACAGCCTTAAGTATGTCTGCTGTGCGAAATTAGGTCAAACGTCGCCGAGAGAAAGAAAGGGTCAAGCAAATATAGACCAGTGGGGGAAGAGTTCTCAGGTTCGCCTTGAATAGTAGTAATTGTTGTTCTAGTGTACGGCGTGCGTAGGATTCGAGAAGTTTTTCAATGTTTTCCCTATCTGGCTCTCTTTTTGTGAAGGTGTGTATATAAGAAATTGTTTGTTTTTGTACATATATATCGTCTTGTGTGTTTTTAGCAGGAGTTGAAAAATCAAGTCGGGAAAGTCACCACTTGTAGTGGAAATGGCGGTTATCCTTTTGTTGTTTTTTTTTTAATATATGTATATACAAATATATATTAATAACAAGTTACAATACATGGAAACAGTACAAAGGACGAAGTGTGTGTGAATATTCTGTATGTGCATGCGTGTGTGAATATTCTGTATGTGCGTGCGTGTGTGAATATCCTGTATGTGCGTGCGTGTGTGAATATTGTGCTTAGCGTGTTTCCACGCTATCCCTTGTTAGCGTCTACATTTCGAGGTTGATAGCTGAAATCCTGAAGGAAAAAGAGATAGAGGTGAAGGGTCAGCGGCTATTTATAGCCAGGGAAGAGAGACCCCTGGTGAAAGGGTTAACGGACTGAAGGAGGAGTTAACTCCGACACATTGTTCGGACACTCATCCTCATCTTTTTTGCCATATTTATCACAACGTTTCGACCGTTGTACGCTGTGGCCTTCTTCAGGTGGTTGGAATGTCGAACTGAACCCTTTATTTTGCTCGCTGAAGAAGGCCGGAGTGTACAACGGCCGAAACGCTGTGATAAATATGGCGACAAAGATGAAGATGATAGTCCGAACAATGTAAATAGTGTACATAATACCTCATCTCAGAAATATAGACAGATACTGAATTGCTGCAGTTCAAAAGCTCCAGTGGAAGATTTATCAAATTTATGACTAGAAGATTTGCAATATTTTTAACTTTAAGAAGATTTCTTTTGTCAAAATATATTATGTTCATCATAAAAAAAAACCTTTCATTCCCCGCAGAACTTATAGCAATTGTAGTAATTATATTTTAGCTATTATATATCGGCTATTAATATATAAGATTATTTTCGGATAATCCAACTACTAGTTCGCTAAGCTTTTATAGTTTTAAGAATAGGTTCGCAAGATCCGATAGGATGCTACCACTGTATGTAAGCCTTGGCAAAAGCAGTATATAACAACTAAAGCCCGTGAAATATAAAACCTAAGGCAAATCAGAAAAGTGGAGAAAGTAGACATGTTTAAATAATAGAAATACTATTCTTCGAAAATGTTATTGTGGCTGACGACCGCGTTTTAAAATTGATCCGTCGGTGTTCAAAAAGCCCCTTTGGCAATCTATTATTAAATTAATGTATGATGGTGACGGGGGTAAATTCGTTACTTAACGACAAAAACACGCACAAATTTAAAACGTGTCAGTATTATTGATTTAAAATAATTACTCAGTTTTAATCCGTGTTTGTTTATTTATTTATTTATGAGAAACGGTTTTAAAGACAATTTCTCTAAAGAAAATATTGTTTTTTTTTTTATATATAGAAGTTCGTTTGCAACGAGACGAAGCAACAGACAGAACCAAATGACCAATGTTCTCGTCTGCGCACGCGCGAATAGCGGACGAACTTCCGGAACATGATTATCACATAAGACACAGATGTCCAAGTGAATAAAATACTTTTTTTTTGTCTTTTTCATTATATAGCTGAAACAACTGAAAGAAAAAAAAGAAAAGTGAATACATAAAAAGGGAGAGAAGAGGAGGGGGAAATAGAGAAAAGAAATCCTTACACAATACTGAAATTGTATTGTTTCGTAAGCTGGGCATGAAAATTTTAAAACGCTTCCCAAAAGAAAATCCTCTTTTTTTTTCTCTTTTCTTTTTTTTTTTTTTTTTTTTTTCAAATATTGATTCAAAATAATCTGCGTGACGTGCAAATAATATGGTAAAAATCTGGAGGCAGTGGGAAGGAGAAATTAAAATAAAAAATTTAAGTTTAAAATTTTCACTGACTCCACAGAAAAGGAAAGTAAGAAAGAAAGAAAAAGAAAGAATGACTAGATTAGTCATGCGAATTGTTTATGATAGTGATTGGTCGTTATCTTATGTGTCATTTAAAATGAAATATATGTGTTAAAAAGAATAAAGAGGGAGAGAGAGGTAGACTAGAAAGGAAAGAGAGAAATGAACAGAAAGAAAGAAAGAAAAAAGAAAGAAAGAAATAAAGAAAGGGTGTAACGAAAAGTTTGAATAAAGAAAGGAAAAGATATAATGAGAAGAAAGAAAGAAAGAAAGAAAGAAAGAAAGGTGAGGAAAAGTTTGAATAAAATAGGAAAAGACATAATGAGAAGAAAGAAAGAAAGAAAGAAAGGTGAGGAAAAGTTTGAATAAAATAGGAAAAGACATAATGAGAAGAAAGAAAGAAAGAAAGAAAGAAAGAAAGAAAGGTGAGGAAAAGTTTGAATAAAATAGGAAAAGACATAATGAGAAGAAATAAAGAAAGAAAGAAAGAAAGAAAGAAAGAAAGAAAGAAAGAAAGAAAGAAAAAGTTTGAATAAGAAAGGAAAAGACATAACGAGAAGGGGAAGAAAGAAAGAAAGAAAGAAAGAAAGAAAGAAAGAAAGAAAAAGTTAACATATGCGAAAGACAGAAAGAGGAGTGTTAAATAAAGGAATTATAAAAAGTTAAAGTAAGGTTCAATTAACAGATGATGATGAACAAATGAAGTTGTGCATAGACAAAATAATTAAGAAAAAGATAGGCTGTAGTAAAGAAAGATGGAAGTAAATTTTAAAAAAAAAGGAGAGGCAAAAAGAGAAAACGGTTAGCAAGACGAATTTTAAAATGATTTAAAATACTGAAAACGGAGATGTCGACGATGTGATATAATTCAACAAAAAGTGAAATTCTTTTCAAATAAAATTTTTCGAAAAAGAAAATGGAGAGAAGACGAAGAAGAAAATATTTTAAAATTCTTTTTAAATACTTTAAATTAAAAAAAAATATATGAGAAGTATTCAGAACAAGAGCAAAGAAATTGACATTCCAATGGAACAAAAATAAAGGTAGGAAGAAACAAAGAACATCAAGTAAAACGCTATCGTTTCCTTGAATTTGTTTATGAGTGTTTTCAAACATGTCAATGGCCGGCGACGTGGGAAGGCTGTGAAAGTGAATGGGGTATGCCAGGAAAAGCATTTGAATTGATAATAAATAAACACCCGTGAAATTCACAGATAAACGCCACAACAATTTGCGAATTGTGAAAATTTTTGGATTTCAAACAAAACGTCGGTAATTCTAGTCGATTCTTTGTTTGAGAACTTTACCATGGAAACTATGGAACTCTATCGTCTGTTTTCTGAAGACTCTTGGCTAAGGTTGAGGTGAATTTGGTAAAAATAAAATGGAGACGAGGAAAGCTGAAATAGCGGAAAGAAAATAGTGACGCAATGATGTGTAAATATGACAGAGAAGAAAAATGAAGTGGAACAGAGAAAAGGAGAAAAGAACAAAGCCAGAAAAAGTAGAAACGAAAACAAGAGTAGAAATAAAACTTAAAAAGAAATGAAGAAAATGTGAAGAAAGGTTTGAATAAAATAAGGAAAAAGAAAGAAAGAAAGAAAGAAAGAAAGAAAGAAAGAAAGAAAGAAAGAAAAGTAGAGTTTGAATAAAAAAAAGGGAAAAAAGTGAAAAGAAAGAAAGAAAGAAAGAAAGAAAGAAAGAAAGAAAGAAAGAAAGAATGTGTGAAGTAAAGTTTGAATAATAAAAAAGGGAAAATCCAGTGAGAAGTGAAAGAAAGAAAGAAAGAAAGAAAGAAAGAAAGAAAGAAAGAAAGAAAGAAAGAAAGAAAGAATGTGTGAAGTAAAGTTTGAATAATAAAAAAGGGAAACCGGTGAAAAAAGAAAGAAAGAAAAAAGAAAGAAAGAAAGAAAGAAAGAAAGAATGTGTGAAGTAAAGTTTGAATAATAAAAAAGGGAAAATCCAGTGAGAAGTGAAAGAAAGAAAGAAAGAAAGAAAGAAAGAAAGAAAGAAAGAAAGAATGTGTGAAGTAGAGTTTGAATAATAAAAAAGGGAAATCCGGTGAGAAGTGAAAGAAAGAAAGAAAGAAAGAAAGAAAGAAAGAAAGAAAGAAAGAAAGAAAGAAAGAAAGAAAGAAAGAAAGAAAGAAAGAAAAAATGTAAGGAAGTGTTACAATAAAAAAGGAAATGATATAATGAGAATCAGACGAAACTAAAACAGAAAGATGTCAGGAAGTGATTGAATTAAAAAAAGGAAAAGACATAATGAGAAGCAAAAAAAGAAAGAAAGAAAGAAAGAAAGAAAGAAAGAATCAAACAAACAAACAAAATGGAACATAGAAAAGAATGACTACAGAAGAGAATGTAAAATAGAAAGATAATTAGAAAATAGAAGAAAACTGTCAGAGAAAAGAAGAGAGAAATTAGTAAATACAGATATTTGTTGGAAATAGTCACATGGAAGAATTGTCTTGTTATATATGTGGCCAGAAATCCATTTCTGAAAAACTATAATTAACAAAAAAAAATGATAGAGATATAGAGAGAAACAGAAAGATAGGGAGAGAAAAGAGAGAAAGAAAGACAGGGAGAGAAAAGAGAGAAAGAAAGAAAGGAGAATAACAGATAGGACAATTGTTCCTGGTTCTTTCATAACAGCTAAGACAAAACAATTTGAAAATGCTGTTAAATTTCAAGAATGAAATCCTTTTGTGGCCACTAAGCTTTGAAGACACACATACACTCAATTTGAACCATAAATAGATGAGCACAGAAAATTCCCAGCATGCATCAGCATTGAATTGCATTTTATTTATTTATTTATTTTTAATGAGCCCAGAATTACAAATACAATGGTAACAATGCATTCACTTGGAGACAATTCGCCTGTGTAAACTTTTCTTCCGAAAGCGCACGCTTCTAAACTTAGCCTCGTCCACAAGCGATATATCCAGAAAGTAATGCCGCCCTAATTATTCACCATATTGTTCTGTCGGGAGATCCACAAACGACGATAGCTGTTCACGTTATGCTGGAAAAGATGCACGGCCTCACGCACTTCATTATCAAAAAGTTAGAAAAGCTGAAATAAGCGAAGAAGAGAAGAGCGGGGCGTAAAGATAATAATAATAATAATAATAATAATAATAATAATAATAATAAAAATCATAATAATAATAATAATGATGATAATAATAATAATGATAAACCTACTCTACATGGATGATCTCAAACTCTTTGCCAAAGACGACAATGAAAGGCCTCCTCAATATTGTAAAATACTTCAGTGATGACATAGGTATGGACTTCGGATTAGATAAATGTGCAAAAGTTACATTCAAGAAAGGTAGAATTACAGAAACACCATTAATAGATTTAGATTTTGTCACAAAGTTTAGGGAACTGGAGCATGATGAAGCTTATAAGTACCTAGGAATTAGTGAAGGAGATGGCATACAACACCCCCAAATGAAGGAAAAAATAAGAAAAGAGTACTACAGGTGTGTACGTCTGGTACTAAATACTGAGCTAAACTCAAAAAACAGAATATCAGCCATAAACGCATTGGCTGTCCCTGTGGTGCAATACAGCTTTAATGACCTTAACTGGACCATAGCTGAAATTAAGCGAATGGACGCCAAAACGAGAAAGCTTCTCACTTGCTATCGCATGCATCATCCCAAAGCTGATGTTGATCGTCTGTATGTGCCCAGATCCGAAGCAGGCAGAGGGTTAGTTCAACTAGAACTGTCCTACAAAACAACAACAATTGGCCTCCAAAGATACTTGGAAACTACAGAAGACTGGATGATGGTATGCGTCAAGGAACATGAAAGTAGTAAGCGTCTTTACTCCGTAATGAAAGAAGCCAACAAATTCAAAATGGAGTTTCAACCAATGCTTGCTAACTAGGAATTATCAAGCACATATACTAAAATATTGTGTCAGCCCAAAATGCAGATTCTGTGATAAATATCCAGAAACGATTGATCATCTTGTAGCAGGTTGCACGATGTTGGCACCCACTGAATATAAAACCCGACATGACAGAGTGGGCCAATATCTGCACTGGAAAATCTGCAACTTCTACGGGAAGGAAACTGAAAGAAACTAGTATGAACACCACCCAGACCCGGTTACGGAGATAGGACCTGTTACAATTCTATGGGACTACACAATACACACTGACAGAACAATCAAGTCCAACCGCCAAGATATTGTTATTAAAGACTACAAACAAAAACGGTGCCTCCTTATTGATATGGCAGTCCCTGTTGACTGCAATGTATCTTTGAAGATATGCAAAAAGCTGTCAAAATACAAGGACATTGAAATAGAAATCTCGAAAATGTGGCATATGGGAACATCAACAATCCCTGTTGTACTTGGAGCCCTAGGACTGGTTGGAAAAGATTGCAGTAGACTAATTGAAGGGATTCCTGGAAGTCCATACCTCAAGGAGATACAAAAAATTGTTCTGACAAGTACAGCCCACACTTTACGAAGGGCTTTATCTATGTAATTTTTTTTTTTTTTTTTTTTTTTTTGTCAGTGGAAAGTGTCATGACGCCATTTCTAACCTTAGGTCCCTGGGCGGGACCCGGAAAGAAATGTGTAAACGCCAGAAATCAAAGATAATAATAATAATAATAATAATAATAATAATAATAATAATATAATAATAATAATAATGTGATCAAAGACCACAAGAATAGAAAGTGCTTTCTTATTGACATGGTAGTTCTTGCAGATTGCAATGTATATTCGAAGATCTTCAAAGAAAAAAAACAAAATAGAAGGATCTGGAAGTGTAAATGGCACATGAGGACATCAGTAATTCCAGTTGTAGTTGGAGCCCTCGGATTAATTGGAAACAGTTCCAGTTGACACACTGAAGGGATCCCTGGTAGCCTTAAAGGAATACAAAGAAATTGTGCTCACAAGCATGGCTCACACACTATGAAGAGCTTTAGCTATGTAAGATATATATGATCTTTGGTTGTCTATTTCACACTTTTTTACAAAAATGTTCAATAAAAAATGTCATGATGGCATTTTTTCTGATCTTAGGTCACTGGTCAGAACCCCGAAAGAAATGTGAAGAAATAATAACAATAATAATAATAATAATAATATTTATTTTTACCTTTTTTTTTTTTTTTTTTTTTTTCAAGTCTATATACTAAAATGCATCCCCCCCCCTGGAGTGGTCACTCGGACTTATACTAAGTTAAAACTTACTATAGTCTACCCCACTGAATACCACACAATCTTTTGAAATATTCTCTCTTTATATCAATAAACCCACAATCTCATTGTATGGGCGTGCTCCTGGATCTTCTTCGAGATTCGTCCTACAGCTGGTAATCTGAACATAATTACCCCTTGGCGGTCAAGGTTAAAACGCATCTCTACTAATTTCAATGAATACGAATAATATTTCATACCGGATCGGCCGTCAACCGGGGCAACAAGGACCGCGTCACTCAGAGAGGAACCAGTCTGAGAACGAAAAGTCTGCCACTGGAACAAACTCTTCCACACACGAAGAGACACTTGGTCACCAAAACCGGATTATTGCCAACCTTGGACCAAGTGACTCTATGCAAAATCGACTAATAAAAAGTAAACGAACGAAATGGAGCCGCGAAGAGTATCGACAAGTCATGACATCCTTCTTCACTGCACTCGAAAACCCAGCAAAGAACACCACCAATCAAACATACCAAATATGGAGAAGTACGGTGGGAAATGATGTAAGACCTAACCTTAATCCAAACATGCTTGCCAATGTCCGTAGGGACATCATGCGAAACAACAGACTCTCACAGGCAGAAATAGATAAGATAAAATTACATATAAGACAAAATACTATTACCCATCACTCTAACTCTATTGAGGCGAATGTAGAAATAAGGAATGCAACAGAGTATGGGGTGGATGCTGGAGAGAATGAAGTACGGAATAATCTCCCAGGAAATGAAACTCAAGACTCTACCTTAAACACAACCTACAGTCCTCCAGAAACTGCACCTGGAGTCATCTTCAGTGACAATAAGTTAGAATTCCTTGAAAACCACGGAGCTGAAATCACCGAAGGAAAATGACGTCATCCAAGTGCTCAGCAGAGTAACATTCACACAATTGTCAGACATAGACCAGCTACCGAAAAATCCATATGACGAACTCCAACAGGCACATCGTGAAAATATACAATGCTGCTCTGGAAACACTGTTAACAGATAAACCACCGGAAACATCACAGAAGTTAACAACGTCATATACGCCACAGCTTTAGCAGCGACTCGGAAGCTTGGAGTCAAGACAATAAATAAAATTAACAGACACAGAGAACCAGCTTGGAAAACCAAACTGATTCGAGAAATACAACAAATCAGATGTGAGCTTTCTATATTAGATGAGCTCACCAGAAACCCTAATATTTCCACACGTAAATTCAAAAAGATCAAGCGGAAATATAACATTAAACCCCTAATTGATATTCCATCAATCAAGGAAATGCTGAAGCAGAAACTTCAGCTGAAGGCGCAGAGAGCAAGACGATACGAAAAACGTTGTAGGTTCTATCGCCAAAATAAAATATTCCGAACAGATCTTAAAAATTTTACAGGGAAATTGGAAAAACACCTATACATGTCGAAAGCCCACCATCGACTGATAATGTACAGACATTCTGGGAAAATATCTGGAGCAGCCCAAAGGAGTATAACCCAAATGCAGAGTGGATACGGCGTGAAGAAGAACGAATGCTGGATACACCTCTGCAAGAATGGGAAAATATATCCACAGATGATGTTAGGCAAGCTCTAACGAAATCCCAAAAGTGGAAATCCCCAGGAAGTGACAAGTTGCCTAATTTCTGGCTATATCATCTCACATCTACCCATGAAATTCTTGCAAAAACATTATCAACGCTTGTAAATAATCCCTATGAAACCCCGGAATGGATTACTGAAGGTATGACATACCTCATACCAAAAACAACTGAAACAGACGACCCGAAAAATTATAGACCGATAACATGTCTCTCCACAACGTATAAGTTGATCACGTCTGTATTGACGAACCGTACTTATTCCTTTCTCGAAACAAACAGCACTCTCCCGCTGGAACAGAAGGGATGCAGAAGAGGTTCATATGGCTGCAAGGATCAACTTTCAAATAAAATGATCCTGGAAAATTGCAGGAGACGACGCAGGAACCTAAGTGCAGCGTGGATTGACTATCGTAAAGCCTTTGATAGTGTTCCACATTCTTGGATCCTTAAGACTTTGGAAATGTACAGTCTCCCCTGTGGTATTAAATTTCCTTAAGCACAGCATGGGAATGTGGAACACCAAACTATACCTTAGTCACACCGGGGGCACTGCCATATCCAACCGTCCGAGTATCCGATGTGGAATCTTTCAAGGAGATTCTCTGTCACCCCTTCTGTTTTGTTTATCCTTAATCCCTCTTACACATGAACTGAACAACAGTAGCTATGGTTACAAAATAAATAAGAAAATATTCAATCACCTACTCTACATGGATGATCTCAAACTCTTTGCCAAAGACGACAATGAGTTGAAAGGTCTCCTCAATATTGTAAAATACTTCAGTGACGACATAGGTATGGACTTCGGATTAGAT